CTCGACGTAACCAACAAAACAAGGGGTTCACCAACCTCTTGCTTGATCTGAACAAAGACTTCCGGTATCTCTAATCCATGTAGAACACTGTTTGCATTAGATGTGGGAATTCGGCAACCCGTCTCTGCAGAGTTGAAGATTGAGAATTGCTGGCTCAATTTTTTGGATCTGCTGATTGCCTCTGTAGAGATGGATTGGTTGAAATTCAGAGTCTGCAGAACTATTCTGGACCGATACTTGGCTTGCAATCCGAAGAATCCACTGCTGCACCCGGACCTGGACTTTCCGCTTTCGAGATCTGCTCGACTGCCTGCATCGTCCGGAGCGTGAACAATGGAGAGCCAAGTTGGTTGGTCATTTCAACATGTTCAACCTCCAAATGGTGGATGCCAAATAAGTCAGTTTGGATGATGTCGAATGGATTCACGAATCTTCTTTCCGGAAAGAATTCACTTGAAAGCTGGCAATCAAATCGTGCAGGAAGGTGTGAATGCCCGACTTCTCTAGAAGACACGGCAGAGCTTTTCTCACGCGGGTTCTCCTACCTGTCCTACCTAAGCTTCGGACCCTCCGGGGTGCCGAAGCCATACAGCTCTTTGCGCGTTCGACTGTGCTCCGCGCATTTCTTCCTGTTCTTCCGAGCCTTCTTTGAAGGCTAATTTTTGAGCCCTTTCTAATACAAAAGGATCCTCCCAGAGTACTCGGGCTGCCGACATCTCTGATTCTTTCTCAGAGGGGCATTTTTGCCCTTGGTAGTCCAAGCCGACCCCCGGGCCTTCTCGCTCAAGCGGGGTGTGGTCTGAAAACTGCCATCCGCATGCTCCTTCGTAATGTAGAACATGAACTTCGGGTCACCATTCTTGAAATGGAGCAAGCACCTCAGAGCCAAGCTTCGTGGCTGGCAGGTTGACATGTTGGTTTCACATTAACTATCAAAACCTTAAATGTACGCGTATCTGTCTATATATATATATATATTTTTTTTTTCACAAATTATCTCTAGCAAACACCCAGCACGCTTGCTTTCCACGTGCTCGCTGTCTTGGACCATCTTGAGCCAAACTTGAGCCAATACATATACGGGGGGCGAAATTTCAACACAACTCCTTCAACGCTAGTGATAGTTCAACTACACTTTCGTTCATTCTAAAGCCTTTGCTCCACTGGCCTTTCCTTCACGGAACTCTTGGCACAGCGTTCTCGTGTGTTTTTCACATGTCTCTCTACTCACAGGTTTTTTTTGCATAGGTCAGCTAGATTCTGTTTTGTGTTCACGGATTTTACGGTCAGGTCATTGTTCGCCACGCGTTCTTGTACCCAAAGGTATCGGGCTTGTACGTGACGTAGTTTTCCTAGACCGCGTCTTGCAGCAGTACCTCTTGCTGCTGACGAATCGCTCAGAACGATTAGGTCGTATTTCCGACCCCAGTCTGCCATCAGCGGCTTCAGACTTAGTCCTAGTGCAGCACCACGGGTAAGTACATAAAACTCACTCTCTCCACTGCTTAGCGCAATGGTTGATTGCAAGTTTGATCCGTGCTTCACGCAGTGTGTTCCAATGCATATAGTGTATCCAGTTGTGCTTCGCCGGGTCAGTAGGCATCCGGCATGATCGCTGTCTGCGTGTATTTTGATCACATTCGTAGGTCGTTGTGGGTGGTACACGTTGACTACTCTTGGTCGTCCTACCAAATATCTTCCTAACCTTTTCAGGTCTTTCATGTCGCTTTCATTCGGCGCTTTCATCTTTCTCGTCAAACTTTTCACAGCTTCACTCAGGTCTGCTCCGTCTTGAGCTAGGAATTGGGCTCTCATTACTAAACTCCTGTAGAGCGTGGTCTGCTCTGCCGTCACCGGTGGAAGTCCAACCGATGCCAGCACTTCAGAACTCTTCTTCTCCGCTGGTGTAGTAGCACTCTTTGCGTTTTGCAGATTCAATTGTCTTATGATCATCTCAGCATGTCTTGGATCTGCTTCGTAGGTTACTCGTCCAGCTTCTTGTTCGTATGGCGCAATCCTATTTAGGATCGTCAGATGTTTTCCGGAACCTTTTCCAATTTCTCCATCGCATCTGTATTCGTACTTTTCCTACAAGTACTATTGCCCCTCCTGGTCAGCTAGTACCAGGAAGTCATCTCCGTGCACCAGTAATTTGATATCCAACTCATCGTGTCTGAAAACACTTGTCCAGGCCTGTCCCTGGTGGAAGTGCTTCTTTTTCAGATGGTTGGAATAGTCTTCCTGCCACATGTGACTCGCATCTTGAGTCCCGTACATGGTTTTCTTGAACTGGAGAAGTCTGATTTTGCAGAAGTTCAGGTACAATTTGATCACCTGGAAGTTAGCTGAACTCCTGTGTAGCAACTCCTGTGTAACAATTTCTGTGCGAATGACCTTGCAGGCAGGAGTCTTGTAGGAGTTCAAGTAGAAGTGGATCACCTGCAAGTCAACTCCTGTGTAAATGACATTTTTCAAGTTTAGTAGGAGTTCCGTAGAAGTTGAACACCTGTAGCTGATGTAGGTGTGTTGTCTATGTTGTAGATCATGAAGATGATGTTGTGAGTGATGTAAGGTTAGATAGGTTTGAAGATGTAGGTGATGTAGAGGATGCAGTGATACAGATGATGATGTAGGTCATTTATGCGTTGTAAATGATGTATGTCATGTTCATGTAGATGAGGTTGATGAAAAAAGATTGTGTAGGTGATGTACACGGTGTAGGTGAGATTGATGATGATGATGATTATTATTATTATGATGATGGTGATGATGATTATGATGGTGGTGATGGTGGTGATGATGATAATGATGATGGTGTAGGGAAGATGGTGCAGAAGATGTAGGTGATGTGGGTGATGTAGAGGGTGTAGTGATGTTGATGATGATGATGATGGTGATGATAATGATGATGTTGGTGATGATGATGGTGGTGGTGATGATGGTGATGATTATGTAGGGAAGATGGTGCAGAAGATGTAGGTGATGTCGATGATGGTGATGATGGTGATGACGATGATGATGATGATGATGATGATGAAAGTGATGATGATGATGATGATGATGATGATGATGGCGATGATGGCGATGATGGTGTAGATGTAGATGTAGATTTAGAGAAGATGGTGTAGAAGATGGTCTAGAAAATGTATTTGATGTAAAGGACATAAGAGATGTGGATGATGTATGTTAGGTAGATGAAGTGAAGAGTGAGGCGGACAGCAGTTCTTTGGGAAAAAGCCTTCGCACGAGCTTCGGGAAGACTGGCCACAGTAACATTGTTGCAAACGCTTTCGGAAAAGCGTTTTGTCATAAAGTGTTTGTGCTGTGATTGCGCATTGCACGCACGACCTCTAGACTAAGAAGGGCGGGGCAATAAACATACTTCACTCATTGCGTGTTTGGCAACTGTTTTTGTTTCTGGCTGTTGGGAATATTCTTGAAGCATCCAAGTTTCACCTCCTGTGTGCTGCTTGCCATCCCATTTTCAGTGGCGCACCTCTGACGTGCGATCAACCACATCTGCCTGGGCCCATGGTCCCCAAGAATGACTAGAATCTGTGGTTCCCAGCTCCACCACTAATTCCACCATGTTGTTGATCTTTGGGGTGAATATCCCTTTACACTCCTTGGTTGGGATGTTGAACAGCCAAATGCTGCAAGTTTGATTTGAGACGGTACGCGAGGTGTCTTATCCATTCTGATCCCATGTGCTTGGTAATCTGTGAGATTCCAACATGACAAAGTGATACCACCCCCGGCAAATCCCAGAATTGGATGAAGAAAAACAACCACATGCAGGAAACCCTTCTATTTTCATGCTAAAAAGCACTATTTGTGTTTTTCATGCCAAAATGAAAACACATCGGAAACCAGAACAAGATTTTCTGAGCCTCAAACCAAATATTGTGATCTCAAGAGTTGTGTTCTTTGCCATTGATATTCTTTTTGTCAAGGCGCTGGCCAATCGTTTTAAAAAAACAGACACAAACCACGCATGTATGATCGAATGATGGGCCTCTATTGGTTACTTCTAGATGCGCTAACCACATCCCGGCTACCCAAGAAGGCAGCACGGGTGATGGAGGTCCTATATGGGCACCACACAATTCAAATCAGATTCCTGACCGTCTGGGACGCTACAGGAGCTGATTGGAGCTGCATCTGAGGTGGCGCACGTGATACGTCCAGGAGATCGCCTGGTCTTTGAGTTTTGCATCGATGCCAAATAGGTTAGATGCTTAGAGAATGATTCGGTGTGGAAAGGGAATATACAATATACATATATACTATATACATATATACAATATACATATATACTATATATATATATATACCAGTAGTACCGCACAAGGCGGTGGCGGAAGTTTCAGAAATGGAAAACCTATAGGAGAGGTGAGTTGGTGTGACGCAAAAATGGCAGAGCGAACCCACTGATGGATTGAAAGGTGGTTGAGTGTTTCTCCCTTTCTGTCTCTCTTTCTCTCTTTCTCTCTGTGTCTCTCTTTCGCCATCTATCTACAGAGCTACCTTCCTTCTACCTATCTACCTGTCTATTCATGTATCTATCGATCGATTTGTTTATTCACCTATCTATTAAACTGTCTATCTTTCTTTTATCCAGCCATTCATCCATCCACTTACTTCTCTATGTTAGTTTTTTTTTCCGTCCATCTCTTCATCGATCCATGTCCACAGCTATTCATCACCATGTTCTTCGTTCTGTTTCTCTATCGATTCATCCATGCATCTGTCCGTCTACCTCTTCTTCCAGCTATCCATCCATCTATCTAGCTACCCATGCGTTTATCTGGTCATCGACGCTTCTAGCGATCTTTCGATCTAGCGATCTATGTGTCCGTCTGTCGATCCATCTACCTGTCTATTGATCGATCTGTCTCTCTATCTAGCCACCCATCTTTCGATTTATCTCTCGATGTATTTATGGATCTTGCGATGCATCGATCTGTCTATCTATCTATCTATCGATCTATTTACCTAAAGTACTGCGCCTGCCACGAAAAAGTTAGTCCAGGTCATACGAAATGCTGCACCTGTCACGAAATAGCATCTTGGCATAGCTGATGATTTGATACGCCAAAATGCAACCCCTCTCAGGAAATCAGCTCCTTGAGCTCCGAACATCTCTGCTGAAGATGCCTCTTGTACTGCGCCTGCCACGAAAAATGCATCTGTGCAGATCCTCTTCAAATCTCCCACGCCTGCCATCGTTTTTGAAAATGCTACAAAGCCCTCACGTTTTAGTCACTTTTCAGTGGATGCACAATCCACGCCACCTACCGTACGAAACGACGTCTGAACGTCCAAAATGTCTCCGAGACCCTCAGTTTTTAACACTTTTGACTTCCAAATGTGCTTCGCGCCACAACGCCGTGCACTTTTTCGACATCTCAACTTCCAAAAGTGCTCCGAGACCGCCAGTTTTTAACACTTTTGACTTCGAAATGTGCTTCGCGCCACAACCCCGTGCACTTTTTCAACACCTCAACTTCCAAAACTGCTCCGAGACCGCCAGTTTTTAACGCATTTTACTTCCAAACGTGCTTCGCGCCACAACGGCGTGCACTTTTTCGTCATCTCAACTTCCAAAACTGCTCCGAACCCCGCAGTTTTTACACTTTTTACTTCCAAATGTGCTTCGCGCCACAACGCCGTGCACTTTTTCGTCATCTCAACTTCCAAAACTGCTCCAAACCCCTCAGTTTTTAACACATTTTACTTCCAAATCTGCTTCGCGCCACAACGCCGTGCACGTTTTCAACATCTCAACTTCCAAAAGTGGTCCGCGTGTTTTGTACCTTTTCACTTCGAAATCGGCTTCGCGCCACAACGGCGTGCAACTTTTCATCTCTCATCTCCCCAGATGTCTCCGCACCCGCCTCTTTAGCGAGCCTACTTTTCAACCCTCCGGAGCCACAAAACCACGAAAAAACACAGTGTTTCGCGACTTTCCTACCTTTTCGCGCACCTGCATCTTCTTTCTTCTGATCTTTTCTCTTCTGACTCTTCTCCCTGCTGACTGCTTTTTCATCTCTCTATATTGTCGGAAGTTTGACTTCTAAACTTCCTTCGATAATATATATATATAGTGTATATACATACGTATATATATATATTATATACGTATATATATACACAAATTTAAGTCGGTATATCCCATAGATAACATGGACAATGTGGCTGTTACTCACTTTGTACTTGGCAGCATGGCCTCAGCGTTTCTGCTGATGGCAGCTCTTCCACCTCAAACATGCGGATGTAAATTTTGTTGCATGCAACCAACCATACCCATTCTCGTCTCTTGTCAGCTATTGGATATATGTGAAGTATGCTGCAAACTCTTCAATCGCTGGCATTGTTCTTCTCAGGAAACCGTAGCTTCTGGCTTTGCGGCAATCACCTCATCAAAGGAGCACGTCATTTAGACGCAAGGCTTGTCTTGGTTGAATAACAGGCAACTAGGCCCCAACTAGGCCCCAACTAGGCCCCAACTAGGCCCCAACTAGGCCCCAACTAGGCCCCAACTATTCTGTGTGTGTGTAAAAGCTGCTCTGTTTCAAGGCTTCTCTGAGTAAAAGCTTCTGTGTGTAAAAGCTTGTGTTTGTGAACTCCAAGTTGGGCTTGCTTCGCGTTCTTCTGTCACATCTTCCTCTTTGGCCTTCTTCTTTGGAACTTCTTTTGGTGGATCCAAGGGGTAGACTCTTTTGCTTTTCTCGAACAGTTCCTTCACTTGCTTTTCCATTCGCACTAACTCCTTTTCCTCCTCTTGGTGCATCAACCGACACTTGTCTGCGAATCTGCAAGTATCGTGCAGGAAATACCTGCAGTGGGTCGTCTTCAACTCTTCGATCTTCTTCACATCGGGGCTGAATGGTCTCTCTTGCATTGTCCTTCCCATGCCAAAGCTCCGCATGCTTCTTGTTTCCTTCTCTTCGACTTCTTCTTCTCATTTCTCTTCTTCGTTGCTGGAGTCCTCTTCTTCGATCCTTTTGCGAAGATGTTCGCCCTTTTCCGTTCCATCACTTCTTTCTCATCTTCTTGGCTTTCCTGCGTGAACTCTTGGAAGGCTCGTCCTTGGAATCCTTTGAACGTCAACTTTTCTTTGTGTCCTCTTTGATTTCTTTCCTCTTTGCAACACTTGCATTCCTTCTCCGGTGGGTTTGACCACCTCTGTTTCGATGCCTTCAGCAACCAATTCTTCGGTGCTGTCCGAGATGTGGTCCTTTGCCGTCCTGGTTCTATTTTGGAACTTCTCGGTCCAAAGTGCGTCCAACCTTCTTCTTTCCTGCGCTCTTTCTTTCATACCCACTTGACGGTGTGCACGTCGTCGTCCTTTCTCCTCTCTCCATGCCTCGCTATGAGATACACCGGCAGCAATTGCTCGGTGATACCTAGCGTCGTGCCAATCTTGGTTTAACATCGTCTCTTTGGTCAGCAATGTCAGGGGTGCTTTCCTGGTCTGCTGATCTTGTTCTCGTGTATGGTCCTTCATCATCTTCAGCTTGATGTCAACGTCTTTGATTTGCGCCTCGATGCCTTTGGCACCCTCTTCGTCTTCAGCTTCCTCGAGGTATTGGGTGAGCTTGTTCTTCTCCATCGTGAGCTTTCCAATAACTCGATGGATCGATGCATCAGCACTGAGGTAACTGGAGTCACAGTCCTGCCTGAATCAGGCAAAAGGGCATCCATTCCCACCGTGCTTCCGCGCGACTTTTCCTTGGATTTCTTTTCTTCCGTCGCCGGCATCTGACCTTCATCCAACAGTGGGCTGGCCTCTGCAAGAATTCCCGAGATTTTCTCTCGGCTTTCCTCATCCGCTGAAGTCTCTGCGAGGTACTATTCTTGACGTTTGTCATCCTCATCTGCACCTTCGTCGTCCTCTTCTTCACCTTCGTCTTCATCCTCCTGCTCGATCTCGATGTCTTCTTCTTTTGGTTCTTCCTCTTCCTCTTCTGCGCTTTCACTTTGCTCTTGGACTTCTTCATTTTCCGACTCTTCGGAATCTTCGACATCATCTGACTCCTCTTCCGTTTCTTCTTGAAGAAGAACGTCGTAGGCACCTGAGGACATTCGCGTTGCTTGCGCTCTCTTGGTGGCATATTCCATGGCTGCTACCGTACTGGGCTTCGACCTCTCGTCGCAACTGGAGCAGGCGTCATCAAGGTTTTCCCGCTCCAGACCTTCTTGGCCATCCATTGGCCTGCGGAGCCTTTCACAGTGCGTGCTGCATCGATAGACGCAGCCAGCCTCTGCCTGTATCGGGTCACTGGAAGGTCTCTCCAGGTCAGTCTTGCACCCGCTTTAACAGCCTTCTGTACCGTCTCTGAGCAGCTTCGCGAGTTTCTTCCGGAAGTCCAACATCGGGTACTGGTTGTTCACTTTCAGCTGGTCTTTCATCTTCCGATGCGGCACCCAACATGGCTAACTCGAGGTATCCGGTTTCAGCTTCAGGTTCTGTTTGTTGGTTGTTTTGTTCTACGTTGTTGACACTCTTGTTCTTACCTTTGTTTCCTCCTTTTCCTTTGCCTTTGTTGCTACTGCTGTTGTTGTTCTGTTTTGGTGCTCTGCAGTCACGCTGCATGTGTCCCGGCTTGCCACAGTTGAAACAAACCACGGCTGCCGAATTTGAGCCAGACTTGCCATGGGAACCTTTTCCATTCTTTGACATGCTGTTGCCCTTACCTTTTTCTTTATCTCCTTTTCCTTTGTTCTTACCTCCTTTACCTTTACTCTTTCCTTTACCTTTACCACCTTTTCCAAATGCTCCAATCTCCATGTCGTCTTCCCCGCGCTTGCTGCTTCCAAGTGACTCTATCTTGAGCTTCACATCATCGCGGGTCTCCAAGTAGGTTGCCAGCTCAGAGTGCATGTCGTCAAAGTCCAGGAACTTCGACCTGTTTAGCTGGAGGTGTCTTTCTACTTCTGCTGGACACATACCTTCTAGTATCGACATCTTTATGTCATCTGCCAAAGCTTGTCTTGTTCCTGTGGGTGGCTTTTGGGATTCGTACCGATTCACCAGCTCCATCCATCCTTCTATCTTCTCACTTAGTTCTTCGAGTTTACATCTTCCAGGGGATAGGATGTGTCTCAAAAGGGATGATTTCTTTGCTCCTGTGGATGGGCCGTATCGTCTGTTGAGTCTTCTCCATGATTCAAAGCCGTTTCCCCTTTCCGTGTTTCGTACTATCATGAAAGGTTCTCCCTCAAGTAAATTCTGCAACACTTTATATACTTGAGATGATTTCTCTTCCAAGTCATCCACTGGCTCGGCCGTACCTATGCCGAAAGCGGCACAAGCCCGATCCATAGTCACAGTGGAATCTTGGTCTTCTGCCCATGTCAAAACCTTTTCAAAACCTTTTCCAACTCGGAGAAAATTGAAAAGATGAATGACTCCAACTTAATTTTCCAACGCAAGAAGCTTTCACTGTCCTTTCCTGTGTACTTTTCAGGTTTTCCTACTCCACGGTTGTCGATCAGCGTCATGGTTTTCTTTTGCAGGTCCAATGGACTGTCCTGCCATTTCAACTCCTTGCAGCCTTGTCTCTAGAGCTGCTTCTCTATCTCGCGTTTCCTGCAGCATCTGTCCTAGCTGCATCAACCTTTGATTCATTTCCTGAATCTGCTGTTCAGTCACCATCGGGCACACTTCCCAAGGAACCCTGCTACCGGAGCCGCAGCTCCGCTACCACTTTCACAAATTATCTCTAGCAAACACCCAGCTCGCTTGTTTTTCAGGGGCTCGCTGTCTTGGACCATCTTGAGCCAAACTAGAGCCAAAACATATACAGGGGGCAAAATTTCAACAATATATATATACATATATATATATATATGTATGTATGTATGTATGTACGTACGTACGTATGTATGTATGTGTATGTGTATGTATGTATGTGCATGTATGTGCATGTATGTGCATGTATGTATGTATGTATGTATGTATGTATGTATGTATGTATGTATGTATGTATGTATGTATGTACGTACGTGTATGTGTATGTGTATGTGTATGTGTATGTGTATGTGTATGTGTATGTGTATGTGTATGTGTATGTATGTGCATGTATGTGCATTTATGTGCATGAATGCGCATGTATGTGCATGTATGTGCATGTATGTGCATGTATGTGCATGTATGTGCATGTATGTGCATGTATGTGCATGTATGTATGTCATGTATGTATGTATGCATGCATGCATGTATGTATGCATGCATGTATGTATGTCATGTATGTATGTCATGTATGTATGTCATGTATGTATGTCATGTATGTATGTCATGTATGTATGTCATGTATGTATGTCATGTATGTATGTCATGTATGTATGTCATGTATGTATGTCATGTATGTATGTCATGTATGTCATGTATGTATGTATGTATGTATGTATGTATGTATGTATGTATGTATGTATGTATGTATGTATGTATGTATGTATGTATGTATGTATGTATGTATGTATGTATGTATGTATGTATGTATGTATGTATGTATGTATGTATGTATGTATGTATGTATGTATGTATGTATGTATGTATGTATGTATGTATGTATGTATGTATGTATGTATGTATGTGTATGCATATGTAAATGCATATGTATGTGTATATGTATATGTATATGTATGTATATGTATATACATATATATATATATGCATATTTGTAATTATATTAAACGGGGTCAACAGTTTCCAGCATGTTATGGCTGTTGCGGATGATCTTTGATTTCGGGGTTGCTTTACACCTCATTGAAGGGTGCGATGTCCAATCTCTGACTTGCCACCGAGCCGCCTGAAGAAATCGTCGGCCGCGCTCTTGAAGTTCCCGGCGTACTTGTCCAAATCAAAACCCCACAGCCGCCCACGGGTTGGGGATATTTTGGACTCGGATGTTGGAGCATTACCAGAAAACCTTGGTGTTTCAAACTATGAATCGAACATGTTGCAGCAAAAACTTGGACATGTCAACAGCAAGCTTTATGACAATGGGGAAGATAAAGTGAGGATGAAAGAAACGTTGTCAGAGCCGTCTCTCAACAGGCTTTCCAGAAACTTCTACCTATCAAAAAACTTCAGTCTTTTCTTGATAGACATGAATAAAAACATGTTCAGACTCTTTTTTCCTTGATGGGAAAAAACATGATGAAACAAAACTTATACCCTGTTCACTCTGAGTAACGGCTGCTGGACTCTTCGGGACCTCCTAGATCTGTCCATTGCCTTGTCGCCGTGGCTGGACTTGCCAGGTAGGGCACGGATAGGCTTGGACCCTCGGCTGTGACGAGTTGGAGGTGGAGTTCTACTTGATTCAGAAGAAGAACCAGATGAAAAACGCAAATCTTCGCGGTGTTCTTTTGGATCGCGAACACGGTTGCTAGCCTTTGCTCCAGCAGCATCCCTGGACCCCATGGCTCTCAGCCTGAAACGGCTGCTTCGAAATTCCGGCGGCGCTGCCTCACAAATCTGAGCATGTCACACCTGACGCATGAATATCCAGTGAGTTGCTAGAATAGAAGGTCCAAGCCTAATCGGGTGAAATTGGAAAAGCTTCTCTCCTTGCTGCCTTGCTGTAGCATTATGTATTACATATATGATATGTGTATAATATATATATTAATATATATATATATGTATATATATATGTGTATATATATACACACACTACACAGTTGCGTCTTGTGACCAAAACCTAGGAGCCATGACAAGCAGAACATGGGTCCACGAGCCATTCAGGTGGCAGCGTGTGTGAGGGAAGAAAACCCTTGCAGTTCCTGTGATGAAAAAAAACGGCAACTTTTCAAAAACGCTTCAGAAGCATTGGGATTTCAACCAGAGGTTCTTTCAACTTGTTCCCAAAAGATCAGTCCCGTGGCATCAATAATACCATTCACCAAGCATTGTATGTGGGGCTCAGGTTCAAACAGCTTGGGAAACTCTTAGCCTTTCAGAGGTCCCTATCGCAGATGGGGCCCCATGGATGAATCACACACACTCGTTGACTTCCTGTCTGGGTCTAGGGATTTTTGTGGTTCAGTTTTAGCCGCCTTTCCTCTGAAAAAAATATAGGTGTTCAAAACTTTCAACAGTCTTACCCAGTGGACAACCGCATCGATGGCAACCACCCAGAGCTAATTTCCCCCATCTTCCGCCTTCAATTTCTGGAGGCGTGCAATGAACAATCCGCTCCTCAGCTGACGCAGGTGTGAAAAAAATCCAACCCTTCCATGGTGGTTGTCGTTTTCACCCATATCCCAACCATCCCAAATTCTCATGGATCATTCTGATATGTTCTGATCATTTTGTGGGGTTCACCATCACAACTAGGAATCGGATTGCTTTTTCGCTGGAGTTGCACAACCTGCAGTAACCCAAGTTTGGATCACATCGTCTTGGCTCAACCAGGATTGTTGCCGCCATTGTGTAGCACAGGTCCAAATTCTGATAAGAGAGGATTTAACCAGAATTTCCCAGCATTGATGATTTCTGAAAGAATCCATGCAACAACAAATCCCCCCACACCAAATGACACTATGCGATCCCAAGAAACACCCACCGTTTGTTACTGGTGATGCAAATGGCTTTGAAACTGGGGTACCACCAATTCCAGTGGATTCTCATCATTTGCCTCATTTAAATTGCTATTTGGGGATATACCCGTGTATGTATGTATGTATGTATGTATGTATGTATGGATGGATGGATGTATGTATGTATGTATGTATGTGCATGTATGTGCATGTATGTATGTATGTGCATGTATGTATGTATGTATGTATGTATGTATGTATGCATGTATGTATGTATGTGTGTATGTGTGCATGTATGTATGCATGTATGTATGTATGTATGTATGTATGTATGTATGTATGTATGTATGTATGTATGTATGTATGTATGTATGTATGTATGTGCATGTATGTGCATGTATGTATGTATGTGCATGTATGTATGTATGTATGTATGTATGTATGTATGCATGTATGTATGTATGTATGTGTGTATGTGTGCATGTATGTATGTATGCATGTATGTATGTATGTATATATATATACACACAATGATGTCTATATATATAAATACATATATATATATACAAATATATACCCATATATATAGATATATATATATAGATATATATATATATATACCCATATACCCCAATTTTCAGATGGGGATCCAATTTTCGGAACCCCTGGTGCTCCGACGTTCCAGAGGTCACAGGATCAAAGCGGGCAGTGCAGTACCTCTGCGGAAAAAACCAACCATCAAGCGGCGCATGATTCGATTTTTTCACTTATCGTGGGTAAAACAATGGTTAATAGTGGTTAATGGTTAATAATGGTTTATAATGGTTTATAATGGTGATTAAGATGGGTAAAACTGGCTGCCATTTTTACCATCCATTTTCCTGGGAATGGTAAGTTTATACCACCTATAAAAATGCTGATGACTGGGGGATGGTTTATGACTTTGTTTTACCCATATTATACAATAGTTGGCCCAATATTTGAGTCCAAAAACGCAAAAACGTCATGGCATACGTCAAGAGATGAACAGAAATAGGCGAGATGGACCATCCATGGTTGATTTCAGACCCTCGGTGTTCGCCATGTCGGGCGCACTGTCCACCGCCCTTCGGCCCTCCAGCTTCCAGCAAGGAGGGCCTGTCATTCGAATTTCATCATGGCCATTGATTAAACCTTCCTTGGGGAATTCGAAATTGCAGTATCAATGGACCCACAACGGACGGATTTTGTCTGCGTTGAACCATCCTTTTGTGGTATGATCTTAAGACATACCATCTTGAGAAGTGCGTTCCACAAGGACGAACCAGGATTTTTTTGGTTGAACCTGCATCAACAAGACAGTCCTAGGCTTGGTGAGATCAAATAGGTATTGGAGCAAAAGCAAGCTTTGGACGCCCAACTCACCGACTTTCTCTCTTTCAAATGGCCCATCTCTCCTATACCGCCCATCAAATTGGTCGTACTAATGTAGTGTCCACAGTTGTAAACAGCTTGTTTTTTGAGTTGAAATCTCGTTTTTTTGGCTTCCGGGTGTTGAAGAAAGATGGTTCCCATTAGAAAAAAGTGATCATATGCTTTTCATCCACATGTGCTTAGTAATCTAGGGCTGTTTCTCATATAGAATGGGTAAATCTCCTTGTTGACTCTGAATACTATTGTGTATTGGAGAATTGTGGATGCTTACAACTATTGAGGATATCATTGTGGATGAATATCTTCATTCTTAATCCCTTCCCCCTTATATAAACTAGATAGTTACGATCTAAGTTTTGAAATAATACTACACCTGGTTGGTGGTTTGAACCCCTCTGAAAAATATGAGTTCGTCAATGGGTTTCGGATGACATCCCATATATGAAATGGAAAATAATCCAGCCATGTTTGAAACCACCAACCATACACTACCAAACCACCAGTTCCTGGCACCTTGCTGGTGCAGAGGAGCTGGGCCTCAAAAAAAGGGATTCACTTAACAAACCATGGGATCAAGAGTACAGCCCTGAGACCTGCAAAATTTGCGGATCATTCGGAGATGTGCCTTGATGTTTTTCCAACAAAATGCGGTTTCACTAACTTTAATACTGATCAAAGCTGAGATTTCTAGGATCTCAAATCCAGATTTCCGGTATATCGATCCATCCCAATCCAAAGGGTTTTCTGGGCTTCCAATTTTGAGACAGGAAGCAGTCTATGGACGAAGCAGTCTACAGCAATAAAAGAATCCCCAAGATATAAAATGGTAGTTTAATAAGGTAAATAAAATAAGGTAAAATCATCCCCAATATAGATATATATATAATATATACTGTATACAGGGTAGAAGTTTGTTTCTTTCCCAAAACCATCAGCCAACCGTAGTTTCGCTTACGCTAAGCCCGGCAACCGAGGTACTCTCTAAGGTTGGCCGCACACAGCGGCAAGGGAAGAGCGGAGAGGGCCTATGGGGCATTGCGAAATACGGCCAGTGACATGGTCGAAATACCATTGAAATGATCCCAAAAAACCCAACCCTTTCCAGAGCTGAACTAAGCCACCAAGGTCGTAAAAACGACCATTGCCACATGCGGAAACCAAAAAAGCACTGGGATGAGACATTGAATCTCTCCAGTGAAGTCAAAACTGTACCATCCTGTACCTAAATCACCGTGAGGGAGACTCAAACAGTTTTGTGTACCCTCAGGTAAACTAACATAACTATGGAAAATCACCATTTTTTATGGGAAAATCAACTATAAATGGCGATTTTCAATAGCTATGTTAACTTACCAGAGGGTAACCCAAACCAATCAAAATGGTAGCCCTGACATCTCCGTCTCGGGCTCCGGCAGCACTGGGATTCTGTTTCAGAAGGGAATCCACCTGGGTTTTCGTCGCAGATTTACCACAAAAAGAACCAGAGATTGCGGATTTACAAGACTTCTCCCTGCAGATTCTTTGTTTAAAATGCAGGAATCGTGCCCCGAAGATTGGGAATTACGCAACATCACATCTGACTGCAGATTGTTGGTTAAAGATTGAGAATTACGCAACCCCTCTGTGCAGCTTGTTTCAATTTCGGGCAATTGCGCAACCCCTCTGTACAGTACATTGTTACCTAAAGATTGGGGAATGACACAGCTCATCTCTGCAAATTGTTGCTTCAAAGTTGGGGAATTGCGAAACCTAGTTGGGCATTGTTGTGTCCGCAAGGTTAGGAAATTACGCAACACTTGTCTGCAGATTGGTGGTCAAGGATAGGGGAAACACGCAACACTTCTCTGTGCAGTTTGTTGCTGCAAGGTCCGGGAATCACCCAAGCCTCTACAAATTCTTGGTTCAGACGTGGGAGTTAGGCAACCCCCAAAGTGTTCCCATCATTCGTTTCAACGCCAAAGAAACGGCATCCCTGTTTTCACTGCCAATGACTGTGTCGAATGTGTTTGTGGATTGATTTTTTCCGCTTCTGCATATCATTGGCTAGAATGATTTGCAATTTCTGTGGAAATACGGCCAACGGGGTCGCCCCTTGGCGAATGGTGGAAACCTAATGCCATAGTCACCATCCCCAATTCTACCAGAAATGGGTTGCACCTGGTTGTGTAGATCATCCCGAGTTTTAGGTTTACTGTTGGGTTTACTACGTTGCTTGGAGGATCATCCCACTTAGTAACTGGTTAGTAAAATACTTGTTAAGCCATTTAAATATGTATGTATGTACGTATGTATGGAATAACCCACGAAACGAGAACTTGCGATCAAACATGGCGTGCTGGAAAATCCCCCGTTTAGTTCGAAGATGTTCCCATATTATATGTATGTGTATATATATATAGAGAGAGAGATGTCCCAGCCATGTTTCATTCGAAATATGAAATATGTGAAGTATTCCATGTATCTAGATATAAAGGTGCAAATATGTATATATATATATACATAGTATTGTATATTATATATATATTATATTATATGTATTATATGATATACATATATATATACACACATATATATATTTATATATATATATGTATATACATATATATTTACACATGTTATATATATAATGCCCAATGCGTCAATCATTTCAAAAGTATGATGTTTCCAAATATACAATTCATTCCCAACATGGGGGAACCCTAATATGTGGCTATGGAAAATTGCCCATTGATAGATGAGAAAAGCCTGGCTATAAATGGGCCAAGTGAACCATGAAAAATACCCCGTTTTCCCATCTCATTGTGCTAGTTGGTTGTTTCACGGTTTCCCCATGGCTGATAATAATCCCATTAAAACAAGTAGTATAATCCTTTAGAATAACCAATCATCAGGGGTGGTTTTAATATGTTTTAATGGCTCAAGCAACCATTACTGTCTTTGTGCTGTGCATCGAGGGCCTGGCCACATCCTCATTTTGCCGCTGACACAGCGAGCAGGTCGCATACACCAGGTAACCGCCCTGGTGTTCAGGTAGCAACCCCGCCAAAAAAAAGGGACAGCTTGGAGATTCATGAGGATTTACCAGACAAAATGGTGATTTAATGGGGATTTTCGGCCATGATGATGGGCAATAGTGGGGATTTGACCGACCACAATGAGTATATACAAGACTGGGATATAATGAATATACAGTATCACAGGAAAATTGATATAATCTCATCACCCGAAATAAAACTTTCCAGGACTCAATAAATTCTAGGGCTACGTGACATGCCACATATGTGCAGAAAAAAAACGTCTTCCGGGTGGGAAGGTTTGCCAAAACAAGGGAGTGGATAGAGTCGACAGGCGCTGAAACCCATGGGCTCATGTTCCCACCATGAGAATCCTCTGATGGATTTTGGCAGAAGACGTGCATTTCAAGGATCAAATCCAGGATGACTAATATTGTTGTCGTTCACCTTGTCTTTTGACATATTGTTGTTGTCAGATGTGGAAAATCTGGCAGTCCTCCAAATAATTCACGTCACGTGTTCCGTCTTTTTTTGAGATGTTCCAAGGACTTGGGAAATTTTCGGTGGTTTCAGTCGCTATCCCCCCCTTGGAAAACCCATGATGTTTCGCACAAAACTTCTGTAGCTATTCATGGAATATGACATGTCCCAGACAAAAAAATGAGGCTGTGCATTTCAAGGATGTGTTCCTGACTGGCACAGTGACCTTTGATTTGTACCATTCCTCCACTTCTAGCAGGGCAGGTGTTGGTAGTTGCCCATCCCATGTCGCCCCCACAATTCTTCCATCTTTTTTGGTACCCTCTGGTTATTTAACATAGCCATGGAAAATGGCCCATAGAAATAGATGTTTTACCTATTACAAATGGTGATTTTCCATGGCTATGTTAAATAACCAGATGGTAATCTCTCTTGAGTATGGAATCGCGATTCCATAGTTGTCACAAGCAAACCTAGGACCTAGGTTTAGAGACATAGTTTCAAGCGACGACTTCCATCGTCTTGTCTGTCAATCCCACAGGGAAAAATGGAGCCCGCACCACACCCTGGATTTTTGAAGTGATTCCTGATAGTAAACCAAGTTGTGTCTGAGGGTGCATTGATTGTGAGAGAGAAGGAATATAGATTGAGGAATCCAGGAGTCCATGATTCCTAACCCGATCTTGTGAAGCGCCTTCATCTTGTCATGGGAAATTTTAATTTCTACCAAACTGCGAGAGGAATTAGCAACAAAAACGGGTCTAAACCCCAGTCTTAACCAACACATCCCATTGCTACAGCGCGACCGTTCGCACCTCCTTGAGCAAAGCGAAACCGTTCGAAAGAAGACCCAGTTGAAGGTCAAAGAGACCCTCCTGTGACGGGGCCGCCCTTCTGTACAGAGCTATTCCACGGTCTCCAGACTCTGCATGGCGTGAAACGAATAGTAACTCGACTTTAACTGGGGGTTCCAAAAAAAACAGGACATTCTATATACCCTCTGGTAAACTAACAGTTCGCTATGGAAAATGGCCCATAGAAATAGATTCTTTAGATGGTTCACTGAACTTAAAAATTGTGATTTTCAATAGCCATGTTAAATTACCAGAGGGTAATATAAAATGAGGGATATGTAGCAGCGATTTACGGAGATATCCCTGACGACATCAACATCAAGATTACGGGCTTTGGTGAACTCCAACATCCTGATGGCACCGGTGAACCCCTGGTTGGTGGTATACCCCTACCCCTCTGAAAAATATGAGTTGGGATGATGACATTCCCAATATGATGGGAAAGTCATAATCCATTTTATGTTCCAAACCACCAATCAGCCACAGAAATAGACTCATGGGACCAAACAAAAAAATCGCCCAGCCAGCTGCGGTGTCGAAACCAGCAAAGTGTTGTCTGTGCAGCACTGAAAACATGAAGAACACATCTTGGTAAGTCAAAAAATCTGTTTATCTCAAGTACCCACTGGTAAACTAACAGTTCGCTATCGAAAATCACCATTTTCAATGGGAAAATCCACTATTTCTATGGTCATTTCCAATAGCTATTTTGACATAACCAGAGGCTACTTTCAATATGTTCAATTCTTCAGAATTTACCAGGATTTTCCGAAGACCTGTTGGGTTTAACGGTTCTCCGGTGATCCGGGATACCACCTGTTGTTGGGTTATCCGGTTCAGCGGCCTGTCGGATCCAAGGAACACGGCCACCTCGAGGCACACAGGATATTTTTATGGGTTCACCATAGATTCGATGAGAAAATCATTGGGACTTTTTTTTTCAGGGTCAATCTTTGGGATATCAACAGTTTACAAAGTTTACAACAAGCTCTTTCATGTGGTCAACATGTTTTCTCAATTCCGGCTGTGCAAGTGCTGATATGGACAGTGAGACGATCCCGGATCTGAAAATGACCAAATCAAGAATTGCTTAAAGCCGATTTCTAAAACATGAAAACTTGAGCAAAAAACACCAGTTTCAGCCCGGGTGCCTTCACATCATCCGAAAAAGTACTAAGGGCCCCTACTCAAAGAGTCCAGGCCCCACTGCGTCCGGAATTTCTCCAAATGTCGGCAGGATGCGTCGTGGGTGCACCTTAACAAGTTTGGCATTAGGTGCCCCGTGGACACCCACAAAAACGAAGATACATGTATACAAGTATCAGCAAACGTATTCATGTACAAATGTATAATCACATGTGTACGTATATACGCATCATTACATATGTATATATATATATTATATACATATATCCACACTGGCAAATGCCAAAACAAAATTGTGTGTAAAACGGAAAGGCATATGAACATGTATCCAATTGTACATTCGATAAACACACATTGTTGATAAATACAAAACATCTGAATAGACGCAAATCACTGCAAAGTTGTGTGCATCAAAGGACATTTAGAAAGAAACTTCTGGGTTAGGAACGCCTGAGTTCAGGAATCCAGTTCATATCCCATGCGCTGCATCATATATCCACTGCAGAACCAACTTATTGCCATGAAATGACATAGCAAACTGTTGATTCCATACATTTCCATAATTCCATAATTTTCCATACACACTTTAGACATCTTTAGACACTTTGTATAACTTCAAACTTCAGATCTGAGCTCCCACACTCCGCATCCACCAGCACCCGGTCGTAGGTTTCGTTCGTGTCGGCCCTGTCGGCCGTGTTGGCCGTGTCGGCCGTGGCCGCCGCCGTTGCCTGGGATGGAACCCACAGAGGTCATCCGACGTGACACTTTTTTCGTCCTGATGTTCGTCCGGAGGTTCGTCCTTATCTATCGTTATTTCTCATGTTCCTTATGATTATGATGATGATGATGATGATGATGATGATGATGGTTCTCTATCCTTATTTATCCGTATTCCATCTTATTCCCATATCCCATCTCACCAGAGTGCCCCAATGCTATACGACTTCACTTTCGTCACTTGGTCACAAGAGAGTTGCATCACGTCCGGCAGAGATGGCCTTTGCTTTCTCCTCGAAGCGCCGTTTGCGACCACGTTGACCGCGCCTGAGGGACTGAGATGATCCTCATGCCCGCGCCGTCGTGTCTTAGGATGAGAAAAAGGGCCGTGTTGATGGTGTTGAGGTATGACAAGGAACATTCCTAGCGAGAGATTGTTTGGATGCATTGTGGCTACACCTGAACTTCTGCTCAGCTTTCTGGGGAATCTGGTCTTAAAACCCTTGGCTGAGAACATCGCACTCTTGGGAAGCTTGACTCTTTGGGAACCTTGTGCCTCTGCTCAGACCTCCTGTTTGGAAGCCATGTCTTGGAACCTTGCCTTTAGGTTCGAAATAAATTTCAACAAGCACAGCAAGCAAATGATAGACCGCTTGAAAAACCAGGAAATCACAATGTCAGTGTTCCAGCAGTTTATCTCAGTCATCCTCACTAGAAAGACATGGCATAACCGGCATAATCCAAACAAGGGAGAATAGAAGAAGCCAACTAACGCACAGTGGAGGATAGCAGTATTCCCAAAGGTTCATCATAGACAATCCTGTATTTTAGCAATAAACCCCGCACACCTTCAGCACCTTCAGCGGCCAGGAGGCAACAGCAATAGAAGCCACAAAGCGGGGACACGGAAGCATAGGCACAGCATTTGTCAACTTTGATGATTTGGAACGTTGAATGTATAGACTATGATACCAACAATTAAAGAACTGAAACAAAATTGTGGTTTTCAAATGAAACGACAAAGTTGAGAAGTCAGGTGAGCCAATGTAAACAAAAAACAACCTACAAAGTTTCTGCAGTGGGAAGGAGTTCCCAATGGGCATGGATCAATGAGAAAACCCTTCCCCCAAAAGAGATGCCGAAAGAAATGCTTAGTGGGATCGTCCTTCCCCACAAGATCCAAAGCCAAACAAGATCGGAAAAATGGAAAAAAATGGAAAAAAACTATCATTTTTGCTGAGAAATGGAGAAAAACTTCACCTGCAGATTCTCTCAGGTCTGTCCATAAGCCCTTCTTATGTTTGGTACTTTGGGGAACACGCTGTTTAGAGACTTGTTTCGGGAATCATGTCTTTGTGAAACCTGGGAAACAAATCTTGGGAACCACCTGCCGAACCTTCAATGAGACCCACAGATTGATCACTTCAAATACTAAAAACAAACTAGAACCAACTAAAGATGGGGGCGGAAGAATTTGCTGCAAACAGCTCATTGAAACCAGAAGAAAGGAAGATATATCTGTAATATAGCCTACCAAAAGATGTTCAACCAAGAAGGCAAATAACCTTCGCAGATCTTCTGACAACCTTCTGGTTGTGTTCTTCAAGCAGAGTACCTTTGAATACCTTTTACAGACCGAGTATCAAATCCTTACACTTACCGTGGCAGAAGACCCCAAGCATTCCCTTTTGGACTTGTTGGACGGCAACTTTCCCGAACAACTGGCCCCCGAGCGCCCCAACCCTCTTGGAGGAGCTTCCAGGCTAAACCTTGGCGCAGCTGGAAGGTTGATGCCACCAACCACCTCCCAATTTTCGAATTGTTGGTTGTCTCCAGTACCACCTACGATTTCTGGGATGAATCGCAAGCAGCAAACGATTTATTTTCGTGAATCCCGAATTTCGGTGCTTGATTTCAGGATCTTTGTTGGTTAGCCCAGTTAACCCCCCAACTTTTGGTGTTCAACCACTGTTCTGCCCATTTGAAGCCCCGGCCATTCCGCCGTGTTCGGCCGCCAGGTGGTGCCATCGCCCAGCGAGAGCTTCACATTGGAGATGCCGTACTGCAGGCAGATGGTTTCAGAGGTGGCTTCCAACGTCAGGATTTATTGAAAGATGGTTTGATCCCAAATAAAACAGGTAAAGAAAAGCATCAAAAATGATGGTTTGACCAAACTTGTCCAAAAGTCTACCAATTTTTGCCAGGGCCCCCACCGAAACTAATTGAGCGTTTCCCACCCGTTTCCCACCGAAACTCCACAACCGGTTCATCTCGGTTCCTTGCGCAGCACTGTGCGACACGCTGCAAGTCGTTGCTCGGCCACGTCGACACCAGTCACCTTTTTTAGTGAAGCGATGTGAAGCGAACATCGGTCAGAGGTTTCCCAGCTATTTGCTGATTTAATCATATTTAATCCTCAGATTCCCGCTCATTTTGGAGATTGATCATGATTGATCCACATGTGTTGTTCGAACTGTCACAATGGCCAGTCTCGACCAGTCGAGAAACCCAGCCAGAAGGTGAAACAGGGTATCTGGGTTCGAGAAAGCAGCGGGACTTCAGTAGTCAACAAGAGCAAGGAGCGGGAAGGAAGTGGAGAGCAAGCGAGAGAAAGGAAGAGAGAGGAGGCAAAAGAGAAAGGGAAAGCAAGGAAAAGCAAGAAACACGGAGGAACAAAAATGAGGAAGAAGTAACGTGGAAGAAGGAAGAGTAACTCAGAGCAAAGAAGAACTGGGAAGGGGAAGGAAGAGCAAAAAGTAGGAAGAAAGAAGGAGGAAGAACTAGCAAAAGCAAGGAGGAAGGACGAGAAAAGAGTAGAAAAGGAGAGCAGGGGAGTGCAAGGAGGAAGAACGAGAAAGAAAAAGCAAGGAAAGGGAGGAGGAAGAAGGAAGAAGGAGAAGGAACAAGGACGAAGGAGGTGAAAGGACGAATTAGGAAGACAAGGAATAGAATGGAGAAAGAGAATAAACTGGAAGGCATTGCAAGGAAGACTGCAAAGCAACAGAAACAAGGACAAGGAAATGAAACCATGCTAGGAAACGACGCTAGGACAATCAGCCTGAAAAGCAGCCAGAATTAGAATTGGTAGGAAAATGGTCAGGAAAGCGAATAGAAGAAGGGATAGGAGAAGAAATTGGAAAGGGAATAGGGAAAGCAAAGGAGGACACACATAAACAGCCATCTCCGGCCTTCCAGGAGGGGCCCTAAGTGGTCAGATTTGTATAGTCTGCCAGTTGTCTGTCTATCTTCGAAACGGAAACCTATGGTTTTGGGGATCTCCGATGTCAAGACAAACCAACATGAAAATAAAGCACTTGGATCTGATGCTACAAGAAAACATGCGGGATTTTTGCAACAATAACAAAGATAGATTTAGATTTGTTGTTTTGTTATTTGTTACTCGCAGTATCAATCCGAAACGTCATTGTAACCATCTATAATATATTATATATACATACCATATATGCAATGATTTTATGAATTAAATGTGTATCAAGATAAGAAAAATCAAACTGGTTGCCACAGAGAATCACCCAGGTGGTCACGCCCGGTTTCGTCTTGAGGTGCTGGCTGTGCCATCAGATCCAACTGCATCGCTGAGCGTGCAAAGCTTGGCACCTAAAAGCTTCAAATTGAAAGAAAAAACACACATTTATTAGATAGTTTTATCAAAGGAAGTTTAGGGGGAGAAACTTCCGTGTTACGGACTTTTAGAATGTCAGGGAAAGAGTTAGTCAAAGAAAGAGTTAGCAAAGAAAGAGTTCGTCAGGGAAAAAGTTAGTCAAAGAAAGAGTTAGTGAGGGAAAGAGTTAGTCAAAGAAAGAGTTAGTGAGGGAAAGAGTTAGTCAAAGAAAGAGTTAGCAAAGAAACAGTTAGTCAGGGAAAGAGTTAGTCAAAGAAAGAGTTAGTGAGGGAAAGAGTTAGTCAAAGAAAGAGTTGGCAAAGAAACAGTTAGTCAGGGAAAGAGTTAGTCAAAGAAAGAGTTAGTGAGGGAAAGAGTTAGTCAAAGAAAGAGTTAGCAAAGAAAGAGTTCGTCAGGGAAAGAGTTAGTTAAAGAAAGAGGTAGCAAAGAAAGAGTTCGTCAGGGAAAGAGTTAGTCAAAGAAAGAGGTAGCAAAGAAAGAGTTCGTCAGGGAAAGAGTTAGTCAAAGAAAGAGTTAGTCAAAGAAGAGTTAGTCAAAGAAAGGAAAGGGTTAGTGAGGGAAAGAGTTAGTCACAGAAAGAGTTAGCAAAGAAAGAGTTCGTCAGGGAAAGAGTTAGTTAAAGAAAGAGTTAGTCAAAGAAACAGTTAGTCAGGGAAAGAGTTAGTCAAAGAAAGAGTTAGTCAGGATATATGAGGTAGTCAAAGAAAGAGTTAGCCAAAGAAAGAGTTAGTCAGGATATATGAGGTAGTCAAAGAAAGAGTTAGCAAAGAAACAGTTAGTCAGGGAAAGAGTTAGTCAAAGAAAGAGTTAGTGAGGGAAAGAGTTAGTCACAGAAAGAGTTAGCAAAGAAAGAGTTCGTCAGGGAAAGAGTTAGTCAAAGAAAGAGTTAGTCAAACCAAGAGTTAGTGAGGGAAAGAGTTAGTCAAAGAAAGAGTTAGTCAGGATATATGAGGTAGTCAAAGAAAGAGTTTGCAAAGAAACAAGTTAGTCAAAGAAAGAGTTAGTGAGGAAAAGAGTTAGTCACAGAAAGAGTTAGCAAAGAAATTGTTCCCTCACTGTAAATGGGATTGCAAGTGGTGCTGGTGGAGGAGTTGCCGATGGAGTTTTGGAGGAAGTCTCGCACGAAATGCGTTTTTGAGAGATAGCAGATGCACGAAACCCTATGTTTTTCCATACAAAGTCCGTCACCGAACGTCGATGATCTACCTCTGCGGTGCGACGGGTGCGAGACGGTCTCGTGTGTGGTCGGATCATGGTCGGATATTCTCGGATCATTCTCGGATCGGTTCCGCATTGTAGATGGGGTTTCAACTGTTTTTCGTGCATGTGTGGTCGACAGAATTCCAGTGTGATTTGCAACTGTAGGATCGTTCCCGCATTGTAAATGGGGTTGCAAGTGGTGCTGGTGGATGAGTTGCCGATGGAATTCCATTGTGATTTGCAACTCTAGGATCGTTCCCTCACTGTAAATGGGATTGCAAGTGGTGCTGGTGGAGGAGTTGCCGATGGAGGTTTGGAGGAAGTCTCGCACGAAATGCGTTTTTGAGAGATAGCAGATGCACGAAACCCTATGTTTTTCCATACAAAGTCCGTCCCCGAACGTCGATGATCTACCTCTGCGGTGCGACGGGTGCGAGACGGTCTCGTGTGTGGTCGGATCATGTTCGGATCATGGGCGGATATTCTCGGATCGGTTCCGCATTGTAAATGGGGTGTCAACAGTTTTTCGTGCATGTGTGGTCGACAGAATTCCATTGTGATTTGCAACTGTAGGATCGTTCCCGCAATGTAAATGGGATTGCAAGTGGTGCTGGTGGATGAGTTGCAGATGGAATTCCATTGTGATTTGCAACTCTAGGATCGTTCCCTCACTGTAAATGGGATTGCAAGTGGTGCTGGTGAATGAGTTGCCGATGGAGTTTTGAAGGAAGTCTCGCACGAAATGCGTTTTTGAGAGATAGCAGATGCACGAAAGCTTATGTTTTTCCATACAAAGTCCGTCCCCGAACGTCGATGATCTACCTCTGCGGTGCGACGGGTGCGAGACGGTCTCGTGTGTGGTCGGATCATTCTCGGATATTCTCGGATCATTCTCGGATCGGTTCCGCATTGTAAATGGGGTTTCAACTGTTTTTCGTGCATGTGTGGTCGACAGAATTCCATTGTGATTTGCAACTGTAGGATTGTTACCGCATTGTAAATGGGGTTGCAAGTGGTGCTGGTGGATGAGTTGCTGATGGAATTCCATTGTGATTTGCAATTGCAAGTGGTGCTGGTGGAGGAGTTGCCGATGGAGTTTTGCAGAAAGTCTCGCACGAAATGCGTTTTTGAGAGATAGCAGCAGATGCAAGAAACCCTATGTTTTTCCATACAAAGTCCGTCCCCGAACCTCGATGATCTACCTCTGCGGTGCGACGGGTGCGAGACGGTCTCGTGTGTGGTCGGATTATGCTCGGATCATGCTCGGATCATTCTCGGATCGGTTCCGCATTGTAAATGGGGTTTCAACTGTTTTTCGTGCATGTGTGGTCGACAGAATTCCATTGTGATTTGCAACTGTAGGATCGTTCCCGCATTGTAAATGGGGTTGCAAGTGGTGCTGGTGGATGAGTTGCTGCTGGAATTCCATTGTGATTTGCAACTCTAGGATCGTTCCCTCACTGTAAATGGGATTGCAAGTGGTGCTGGTGGAGGAGTTGCCGATGGAGTTTTGAAGGAAGTCTCGCACGAAATGCGTTTTTTGAGAGATAGCAGATGCACGAAAGCCTATGTTTTTCCATACAAAGTTCGTCCCCGAACCTCGATGATCTACCTCTGCGGTGCGACGGGTGCGAGACGGTCTCGTGTGTGGTCGGATCGGTCTCGGATCGGTCTCGGATCGGTTCCGCATTGTAAATGGGGTTTCAAGTGTTTTTCGTGCATGTGCGGTCGACAGAACTCCATTGTGATTTGCAACTGTAGGATCGTTCCCGCAATGTAAATGGGATTGCAAGTGGTGCTGGTGGATGAGTTGCCGATGGAATTCCATTGTGATTTGCAACTCTAGGATCGTTCCCTCACTGTAAATGGGATTGCAAGTGCTGCTGGTGGATGAGTTGCCGATGGGTTCCCGCAGTGTAAATGGCTGCGTCAAGGTTGCTTCGTGCTGTGGCTGCATTGGTAATACTATTGTCTTTTGCAGCTGGATCTCGTAAATCGTATTGGAGTGGCTGCATGAAGGCTGCGACAGTGATTTGTTAGCAGATTTTTTCCATTTTGGCGCTAGCGATTTTCCTTCTAAAAATCCTTTTCAAAAGTGCTTCAAAATCGTCTTTTTTTCGCTCTGGCGTCGAGATCCGGTTTTGGAGCTACAATTTCCGACGCCGTTGCGCGTAGTTCTATTGTGTTTTGGAACTCAAGCTCTGCAGATCGCATTGTAATGGCTGCGTCAAGGTTGCTGCGTGCTGTGGCTGCATTCGTAATACTATTGTCTTTTGCAGCTGGATCTCGTAAATCGTATTGGAGTCGCTGCATGAAGGCTGCGACATGGATTTGTTAGCAAATTTTTTCCATTTTGGCGCTAGTGATTTTCCTTCTAGAAATCCTTTTAAAAAGTCCTTCAAAATCGTCTTTTTTTCGCTCTGGCGTCGAGATCCGATTTTGGAGCTACAATTTCCGACGCCGTTGCGCGTACTTATATATTGTGTTTTGCAACTCAGCCTCTGCAGATCGCATTGTAATGGCTGCGTCAAGGTTGCTGCGTGCTGTGGCTGCATTCGTCTTACTATTGTCTTTTGCAGCTGGATCTCGTAAATCGTATTGGAGTGGCTGCATGAAGGCTGCGAAATGGGTTTGTTAGCAGATTTTCTCCATTTTGGCACTAGTGTTTTTTTGTTGGACGTACGTTTAGAGCAGTGTGAAGTGTCGGGCGTGAAGAGTGCAGTGTGAAGTGTGAAGGAAGCAGTGGGAAGTGAGAAGTGTGAAGTGTGGAGTGTGAAGTTTCAGTTTGGAGTGCGAAGAGCGCAGAGTGAAGTGTGAAGTGTGAGGTTTGGAGTGTGAAGGAAGCAGTGAGAAGTGAGAAGTGTGAAGTGTGGAGTGTGAAGTGTGGAGTGTGAAGTTTCAGTTTGGAGTGCGAAGAGCGCATTGTGAAGTGTGAAGTGTGAAGTGTGAGGTTTGGAGTGTGAAGTTTGGAGTGGGAAGGAAGCAGTGAGAAGTGAGAAGTGTGAAGTGTGGACTGTGAAGTGTGGAGTGTGAAGTGCGAAGTGAGAAGTGTGAAGTTTGGAGTGTGAAGGAAGCAGTGAGCAGTGAGAAGTGTGAAGTGAGAAGTGTGAAGTGTGAAGTTTGGAGTGTGAAGGAAGCAGTGAGAAGTGAGAAGTGTGAAGTGTGGACTGTGAAGTGTGAAGTGTGGAGTGTGAAGTGCGAAGTGAGAAGTGTGAAGTTTGGAGTGTGAAGGAAGCAGTGAGAAGTGAGAAGTGTGAAGTGAGAAGTGTGATGTGTGGACTGTGCAGTGTGGAGTGCGAAGAGCGCAGTGTGTTTCAGGTTGAAGTGAGAAGTGTGAAGTGTGAAGTTTGGAGTGTGAAGGAAGCAGTGAGAAGTGAGAAGTGTGAAGTGTGGACTGTGAAGTGTGAAGTGTGGAGTGTGAAGTGCGAAGTGAGAAGTGTGAAGTTTGGAGTGTGAAGGAAGCAGTGAGAAGTGAGAAGTGTGAAGTGAGAAGTGTGATGTGTGGACTGTGCAGTAAGTGAGAAGTGTGAGTTGGGCGTGCGTTGGAGTGTGAAGGAAGCAGTTGAGAAGTGTGAAGTGAGAAGTGTGAAGTGTGGACTGTGAAGTGTGAAGTGTGAGTGAAGTGTGGAGTGCGAAGTGCGAAGTGAGAAGTGTGAGTTTTGGAGTGTGAAGTTTGGAGTGGGAAGGAAGCAGTGAGAAGTGAGAAGTGTGAAGTGTGGACTGTGAAGTGTGGAGTGTGAAGTGCGAAGTGAGAAGTGTGAAGTTTGGAGTGTGAAGGAAGCAGTGAGAAGTGAGAAGTGTGAAGTGAGAAGTGTGAAGTGTGGACTGTGAAGTGTGGAGTGTGAAGTGCGAAGTGAGAAGTGTGGAGTGTGAAGTGTGAAGTTTGGAGCGCGAAGAGTGCAGTGTGCAGTGTGCAGTGTGAGGTGTGAGGTGTGGAGTGTCGAGGGAAGGACACGGTCGGGACAGGTTGTCTTTGAACTATAGGTCATTTATGTTTGGGAAACTTCCGCCGCCGGCTTGCCCGGGTCTATGTTAATGATTTATGGAAATTAGATATAATCATCTGCAATGGTTTGCCCCCAAACAAATAGTATTTCCCATTTGCTTATGGATGTTTGCGGGGATGTGATGGAGATAAAATGGGAATATAATGGGAAAAATTGGAGATGACGGAATCTGGAGGGAAAGTAATGGGATGTGACGGAATCCAGGGAGACTTACATAGATCGAGAAAATGTTCACTACTTCCCAACCATCAAAAATTGGGGAAGTAGCGATGTGGCAAACACACTACTGGGATGACCCCCAGTGGGTTAAGACCCACCTACACCCCCAGTTCCAAGCAGAAAATCGTCGTTTCCCCAGTTCCAACTAGAAATCAATAGGGAAACGGTGACTGAAATTTCAACGGCCTCAAACAACACTTCCCCAAAAACAACTTGTCGCCACACCTGGCGCGCAACAGAGATCCAAGATATGATCCTTGGGCCTGCGCGGCTGGGTCGAGGTTTCCCAGTTGGGATAACCCAGGAATTGGTGAATTCCCCCAGTTACTGTCAACCAATTCCAGTTTCTTTCCAGTTTCTATGAACGTTGAACGGTCAAATCATCCACTGTCAACCAGGGATTCATGTGATCCTTGGACCCTTGGGCGAGATGTGGATTTCCCAGCAGCTGCTTTAAAGGGGAAAATTCTTTACGCAGGGCCTAACTATCAGAAAGTGAACTGCCTGCTCATTCACACCGGCAATTTCAAGCTGCAAGTCTCAAGACCCTCATACTCTGGTAAACATCCGGGCTGTTCGGTCTTGAATGGTTTTCCCAAAAAGCTATGTGGGTTCTCAAACTTGGGGGCCCAAAGAATCATCCCAAAAATCCAAGATTAGAGTGCCCCATTTGGGGAAAATAGGATATACCCATGTCTGGCCAAATTTCCTAGAAGGAAAAGACAGCAAACCATCAAAGTTTGCAGTGGCTT